CTAATAGAGTGTATATAATAGAGTGTATATACTTGTGTGTATTTGGTACATAAGAGAATTTACATACATGTAAATGTATTGTATAGTGAAGTGTATAGGAACCGTATAAGGACATTGTACAGTTCATTTGATAATTAATGAAGAATATATTCTGGTATTATACAACTAATAAAATCAAATTATATTGAGTTACACATTCTTGCATTTTTCTTAGCCAAATCCAACACCACCAACTGTTTTTCTCTAAACATGTGCGGTTCCCTTATATAACTCGATCTAAAACGATAACAATCTTAAAATATAATTTTGATGACATCAAATGTACAGATCATCATATGAGATAGGTATCTGAAGTGTGTGAAAAAGCAGAAACTTTTGACTTTGATACTAAACAGAAATGGGGACACAAAAAGGTTGTTTCCAATAAAAACGCACAGTCTTTATTGCTTTCTCCGTAGGACACAACAGCTGATGCACGACACAGCTGTTGCAACAGATAGATTACACAAACACTTCTATAGAACAGATCTTACAACTTATTCTACTCAGAGTTACGCATCATCACACACATGTGATTCACTCCTGAACATGTTCCTAATCTACCCAATGTAACGCAACAACAGTTACGAAAGTTATCTCTTTCACTCAACACAACTGATCAAATGACTCTCTTTGTCTCTGAGTTCTTCAAAGATCTATGTCGGAAGAACTAACTGGCCTATGCGCTATTCCTCCTCCTTTTATATTAGTAACAACCAGCAACTCCTATAGCCCTAAAAACAGCTCTCCCTTAATCCGAAAGGGCAATAGAACTGTTCTTATTGATATCGGACAGCCAGTCCCATCAACCTTTGCTTAACGGAAAGTAAACCCACTTGCACTTTGACTTTGTGCACTTGTGTAAGAACCTTGTTTCCTGAACCAAGCTTCTCGCGTAAGCTTCCTGGTAGTGCGGTTCTCGATTCGAGGTGCCACATGTCGTGCCTAGTCACAAGAAGATTTTTCTTCTTGATTTGCTGATTATTCCTTCCATCTTCAATTCTGCGGAGCACACGAACACTTCATTGCTTCAGTTTCTTTTTGCTTCGGCGGATTCTTCTGCACTAACAGTTTGCTTTTAAAAAATTGTAACATTATATAACAATTAAAAAAACACAGAATAGTTCATGATTCCTCTGTTATTTTCTTCTAAAACAAATGGGATTCATAAGTGTGTTCTCTCTCACACCAACCTCTCTTTTGTTTCATAGTAATCGTTCTTTAGCTCCCTAAGGAATATATAACTACAAATCAGTGACAACAATGAAAACCT